TATACAAACTGTACAACTGGACAGAAGAGGGACTGACAGAAAGGAAGACAAATTCTGATGTAATAAAATTTAAACAGATAAAAGAGAGCTTATAAAGTCGCTGAAGGTACGCTGAGCTGCAAGGAGGCGAAAAAGACCACTTATGTGACAGCACTTCTAACGGCTAGAACAGAGTACCAACTACACACCAAGCTTGATATCCCTTTACTTATAACTATTAAGAGATGATGAGCTGGCAGATACTGATTACCAGATCGGAGCACTAATCCTGATTCACTAATAAAACACTACAGCAGAGGTAAAGGGAACTAGAGAATTCACCCGCTAAAGGAAATAATCAGTACCTTTGATGTAGGACTCAGAGATGCAGATGTTAGACACCTGTCCACAAGGGGTGCCTACCCTGAGTAAGAATGTAATTTTTTCTGTTTTAGATATATTTTCATGTACTTTCATTTTCCTACATAGTTATTGATTGTGTTAGTTTGCGGAGGGACTAAATGAGTGATGGTCTTCTTGATACTCTTATGTGTCTTCCTACTAGATGAACAAATATCATAAAGCAGTGGGGGGTTTTGAGGAGGGGTGTAGATGCACTTTGTAATTATGTGCCTCCAAGCAGCTGATATGCAAATATGGCACTGGCGGGATTATCATTATGATAAAATAAATAACAGAACACTTCTATGTTGTTCTGGTGACATAATGCATTACATATGAGGCTACAATAGAAGGCACCCAATGATTATGATATTATTGCACAAATTAGAAAAACCGAGATGATTGTCATGAAGTCATAATATGGTAAATATCAAGGGATCTCTGTATCAAAGAACATTGTGGTAAAGATAACAGAGAAAAGTCTGACAGCACCCAGAATATTAATCAAGAATTTAGGAAACAAAATGGCTAGTAGCAGTTGTCTGATTCCTCATATTACCTCTTGGAAACCAAACAAGAGATGTTTAATCTCTCTCAGAATCTATTTGAAGACCAATGTTCATACAAGCACTTACTTTTTATATAGCCTGTCCCTGTCAGAAAAAGCAGTCATGACAAATACAATTTAAATTATAGAGAATCAAATTTCATACAATGCACTAGCAGAATTGTTAGTAAATGTCTAGATTTCTTCAAAATAAAATATTAAAAAACTGTCAATTCAGCCTGTGCCGATCCTATGCCGATTAGCATAGAAATAAGAAGGTTGTGTTCTGCATGTCTTTTACCATGGAATCCCTCTTCTGGTCATCTCTTCTGTTTGAATTCAGCCTACGGTAAAGCAATGTTTGCAAGGGGAAGAATGGAGGAGGGGCAGGCTCACTGCAAGTGCAGCAGCAAGGAGAAATAAAGCCAGAATGATTTATTGCAGCAACATCAAAAGGCAATCTGAGAATGGAGAGATAGAACAGATACATTCTATTTACACAAAGCCAAGATAAAGGGGGGGTGGAGCCAGCCACTGACCTAAATGGACGCTAAGCTCCTGAGAGAGAATTACTAATTGCAAGCCAGACTAGATCTATGGCACCCCAAATTTACCTAAAATTAGCCAGACGTGATGGGGAAGAAAACCAAACTCCATAAAAGCAATGCAGCCTCTTCCACCAAGGCAATGTGTACCCAGTAAGAGACCTACTTATACAGAGACAGAACGGTACCCAAGCGTGCTAGCCTGCAACCTGCCCAGAGAGCATACCTGCCAGTAAGGCCGACATCCAAAACATGCTGGCTGAGATGAAGGCATACTTTTCAGCCAACATTGTGCTAGTCCGCCAAGACATGGGGGCCATCACTGTCAGACTGCAGTCCCTGGAGGACGAGAGTGGCATCACTAGAGGCAAACAGGAGGACCTGAAAACTGGCCAAAGCCATACAGTTAGTCCACCACTATAGGGTCCCTAAGTCACCCAAAGCCCCGGCCGAGGTCCCACAGGACTTGTTGCTAAGTTTCCAGTCGCTTAAGAGCAAACAGGGCATACAAGCTTCCAGCCATGACTCACCTACCTACCATTTTGAAGGCTCAGACCTTTCATTTTTTAACGACCTCTTTAATGACCATTCTTTAATGACCTCTAGGTCTACAATGCTCTGGAGACAATCCTTGCACTGGAATGCTGAGACACAAAGGCGTTAGGTACCACTGTGGCCCGGGACGAAAGTTGTCAGTGCTGCACAATGAGAAGCGTATTCACCTCTCACAGATTTCTGAAAGAAAACGATTTCTCAAGACACTAGACTTGCCCGCACCTGACACCATACCGAGACCTAAAGCAACCACTTCTAGCAATTCACAGTCCATCATGGGAAGATGCCTTGTTTGTAAAGTGCTGTAGTACCTTGCAAAGCTCTATGTGGTACAATTTCTTAGTATGTTTTATTATTAACATGCATTAGCAGGATATTTGACCATTTTTATTAAAAACTGCTGTGAATCATATGTATTCCCTTATTTTAAATAAATGCTAACTTGAGATTTTTAAAACCCATAACTATTTCATGGTGGAAAAGTTAATTACCCCTCCAGATTCTGTTTAGTTTTCGTGTTTTAGAAGGAGGATTGCTGAGAACATAGTTGATTAGTTAATCGAGTAATTATAATACATCTAATGGAGCTAAAATTTGTGTAGGCGACAGCTCAGTTAAAAAAAAATAATTTAAGCAGCCACCCCCACTTCCGCATCAACATTTTTATCTTTTACTTCAATGTCCTTTCGCAGTATAGCTATCCCATTTATCTCATGTGTTTATTCCCTGCACTATTGATTAGCTGCATCTTTTGCACTGGGGTGGTGGAAAGGACATATCTGAAATTAAAGGAGAATTAAAGAAAAACTAGATCCATTGGGTATAAGCAAGCATTACCCTATAAGAATAACTATGACGGTAGGCATTACTTAGGAGAAATACCTATGGGCATGAATGGATGGATATTGACAATGTCCCAGTTTTGAGGACAGATAGCTGCCACTCTCAGAGGACATGTCCACTCCACAATGGAGCCCTCCCTCACCTCCCCCCCCACCCCCTCCAACCTGCAAAACCAAACCATTTGGCATGTTGGAAATTACTTTCAGACTATGTTACCGGCTCCTTCTGTAAGCTATGCCGTAATCAAGTAATTAGTTGAACAGTTTGGCATCAAGACACAGTGGGCCTTAAGTTATCGTGGAAGAAGGTCAATGGATGCCATTCATCCTTTTAAAACTTGCTATGGTGTCATAATATACACAACGAACAACAACACAACAGACAGATCAGCGAGCAATTGTATAATAATTGCAACTATGAATTGTACATTGCAAATTGCGCAGAAATTATTCTTTTTAAAAAAATCTGTTTTCTATCAAGTCAAACTGAAGGAAACTCACTAAGGGACATGGCATGCAAGCCATCTCACAGTTAACTGCTTGGGTGGGTGGAAAGGAAAACATTGGTCAAGCTGTGACAATTTTTTTTGTTTTCTATATCTTTTCTAACACATAAAATCCATGAAGGTAGCCTTCGTTTTAATGGACACTTTAACTTCGTACATGTAAGCATAAGTGTGTGCAGCAATGCAGTGAAATAATTGTCTATAATATATCTGAAATAAAAATTAAAAAATTTAAAGTTTTATTACGTGACATGAAAAATCTCTTCTCATTTTGTAACCTGATGTTTTTGTTTTGTTAAGTGTTCGTTTGAAGTTAGCGTGAAAGCAATAAAATGAATAGTTAAAGTGATCTGGGGTTTTATATGTGACCTCTAATAGTTTTTATTGCTTGGCAAGCTGGCTTATTGCAAATGTCAGCAACAAAATTCATTCTTGCAGAGTAATTTAATTTTTATTTCATGGTTTCGTAGTGATCCATCCTTAGTTTTACAAACTGTAGTGAGTTATTACAGTAGATAAAGATAAAAGGCCACTATAGGTATCAAAACAACTGTAGCTTAATGAAGCAGTTTGGGTGTATAGATCATGCCCCTGCAGTCTCACTGCTCAATCCTCTGCCATTTAGACATTAAAATCAATTTTGTTTCTGTGTATACAGCCCTAGCCACACCTACCCTGCTTGTGACTGTGACTGACACAGCCTGCATGCAAAAATAGTTTTGTTTTCAATAAGATGTTAACTTGCTTTAAAAGTTATCACCTGCTCTGTACATTGACCTTTAATCACACACCTGAGGCTTCTGCATTAAACAGAATGTGCAATAGTAACAGAGCAGGCTATAAGAAATCATCAATTAAACAGAATGTGCAATATAGAAAGTTTAAACATTAGATATCTTTTTACAGGAAGTGGTTAGGAAGGCTTTGCAGGGAGGTGTGACTAGAACTGTATAAACAAAGTGGTTTAACTCCTAAATAGAAGAGAATTGAGCACTGAGATTGCAGGTGGCATGGTCTTTACACCCTACTGATTCATGAAGCTAAAGTTGCTTTGGTGCCTATAGTGTCCCTTTAAGTATGTCAAGATCATAATGCAAAACTAAGTAAGTATCTTTTAAAAAAAAAAATAATAATAATTCTTTATTTTTGAAGTGTAAGGATATATTAAGTACATGTCAACATAGGCAGGCATCAATAACAGAATATAGCAATATATAGCATACATCAGGCTAATGTCCAGTTGCACGCTTTTTTGTTTTTTGTTATTAGAAGAGATCAAGAGCATAGTTCTATCAGATGAGACAGGGAGAGAAAAAAGAAATATTGAAGAATAAAACTGTAGAGATTATCAAGAGTGAAACACCACTAGATGTCATACATTTAACTACTGCAGAAGGTCAATTAGGGCAGTTACAAAAGAGAACAAAATGGGTATGTTTAACATTATGCACTGTAAAATCAACTATAAAACAGCCTAGCTGCAGATATGGTCTGTGGGCCACTCAGTCAATGCCCACAGAAGGAGAGTTCCTGTCTCTGCCATCACTAGCTTTTCCGAGGGTTATCATCCACTGTGCCCAAGTACCTATACAGCGCAGGAGCTTGCAACACCAGGGTTGCGTGTCTACTGCCAGGTTGCGTGTTCTCCGACTGCAGCATCTATGTTGGCTGTAAGTCTCTGGTGCGGATAGAGTGCGTTTTGGGATTGTGCGCGCTCACTTGCCCGGCACCGGGACAGATTATAGCATGTATGGGAGCTATACATGCATTTTCTCCTCCGTAGCTCCCTTTGGAAAGCAGGTGGGAGAGGTCCACTCACACAGCATTGACCAGCAGGACCGACCTTAGGAGCCACAAGTTGAGTGACAGGCATTGAGGTAAGATCTCGTTCATGAAGCATGGCCCAGAAAGTCACACAAATGCGATCAAAATTCAAGAAGAGCGAGTCCTCAAGCAGCAATGACTTTGGTTGGTTGCTTCCAACAGTAGGACTCATCTTATTCGAGGTTGAGGATCTGCCACCTCCCCGCCTCGAATGTGAGTATGAACCGCAGGAAAGTCAGACACGGGTTGGTCACACCAGTTGCAGGTAGACAGGTACCAGGATATCAGTGTGACACTCCCCAGGTATATATGCAGGATTGGTGCCAAAAATGGGACAATAAAGTCAAATTTGGGGCTCAAGAGGCTGATATTCCCGAGGAGCTCCAGCACCATGCGACCATCCTGGTCAGCAGTCAGGCCCCGCCCCACCAAGTAAGTATCTTTAATTTAATATTCACAACATATAATGGGTGTGTTTGCTTTATTTAGATCTCAACATCTTGAAACATTATTATATATTTTTTTTAAATTTAATTTTATTAATTTATATTATCAAACATCATATTATGAAGATTGCACGTATGTATTTTTAGGATGTGTGATTATATAGCTTTTATGGAAAGTCATATAATTACTTACAATATGCCCAGTGTATACTAGGAAATCAACGTTATGTTGGGATATCTGTATGCGATGCAGACCTTTCAAATTATACTCCATGCACCATAACCACTAAAACATTGTGTAGTGGTTATGAAGCCATGACGCTCGCTCCCATCCCTTAATGTAAATAGCCAAACCATTTATCAAAATGTGGGGGTCCACCAGTCTCTTAAAGTTTAAATGTAGTAACAGGTTTTTTTGTGTAATGTACAGTTTCAGGGACATTTTAATTCATGTTTTATTCTTTTTGACCAGTGTGTTATCACATAGGGTGAGTTAGTTCACATTTCTTATCTTCCTTCCCCACAACAAAACCTAGTTTACATTGCAGCATTGATGAGCAATGGTCACATTATGGTAACTCCAGTTATTGTTAAAAAAAAAGAAATTACCTCAACATCTGAGAATGGCTGTAACCTCTGTTAGATAGATGTTAGACAGAGGTTAATATTGTGCTAAATTTCTATCGGGTTAATACATTTTAGAAAATAAAACTGAAATACTGTAAGTCAATACAAGCTTGCACAAAAATATTTTATAGAACTCAAACACAATCGACATAAGTATAGATACTAAAAACACAAATTTTATAGTTTTCTGTCTATCTGTCTATGACGTATCTTTCCTTGATAGCAGCATCTATTTATTTTTTTTGTCTCTAAAATTGACTTCTATTTGTAGGTAGCATACAATGCTTTTATCTGCTTTTTTTTTTTGTTGCTTGTGAGTTGTGGTTGAACCTCTGCACATCTACACAAATTTGAAATCTGGGTAAGGTAAATTTAGAGGTTTCAGGTATATAACTGTTCAGTATACTCTAACATTACAACCAGTATGTACCATATTCAGTTAAGCTGAATTCATTTGATCCATACTGACACCTTGTTATCTTGGCACTTGATAAGTTCCCTGTTCAGCTCATCAGGACCCTCTTTCTGTAAATTCCAACAGAGGACCAACTACAGAGCTAAACTCAAATAGTCATCAAATGAACTTAATTTATTTCAAATTACCAGGTTTTTTAGCAACTTGGATGACAATAAATTGAACACACTCAGCTGAAACTGCATCCTATCTGTCCTCATTTGTATCCATTACTTGAAACTCAGCAGTTAGTGAATAGACCTCCTACACTAAAAAATATTGCTCATTTGTCTTGATTATTTCCCCTTAAATCAATTAAAAGATACTTTATTCGCTCACACACAGTAAATCAGGAGTCTGTTACAGAAATTTTGTGGCAACACAAATCATTCTGATTCATCAGGGAGAGAATTTATTCCAAATAATTTTCTGCCTCTTCATCAGGATGATTAATAAACCAGCATGTGGGTGTTCCTTTGTTTAAGGTACTTAATACAAATTTTGGTTATTTGTAAACTTGTTAATTTGAAAGGGCACTCTAAACAGCATGCCCTCTACAGACCCCTGTAGTGTTTTTTACGCCACTACACCCCTAGCGCCATCCCTTGGTTCTGTGTTTAACAATTTTCAAGCTGTTTGACGTAAATCAAACTTCCCCCATGGTCCAGCTCTATTGACCTATGCATTGGCAATAGTAATATCACCCATATTTGGATAGCATTAACAGGCACCAGGTGATATTCAGAGCCAACAAATACCACTCAAAATCTTGACAAAATGAATATTGCTAATGTTGAAGTGAATATTTCATATTAACAGAATGCAAAGCGAGCAGCCAAACTGTTTGCACCCAGTGGAGCCCCAGTTTTTGTCAATTAATTCAAAAAAGGACTACAGTTGTTTTGGTTCTATAAAATAAATGAAAATACACATACACTAAGTGAAAGGGAGGATGCATGATGTTACAAGAGAGGATGCAAGGCATTTCACAGGCAAATAATGGTTTACAGCGCTAGTTCAGAAAATAGAAGCTTTCACTAACGAGTACAAAAACTTCATGAGCTTGATAGCAATCAAATTATTTATTTTATGCAATTACCTAAAGAAGTGGTTGATTATGGACTAAGGTATTCTCTAAAAATGAAGCAGAAGAAACAAAGGTTAGGTTAGAAGACATCAGATTGGTGGCAGAGTGTAGGGATCAATAAACACATGTCTGGTAATGTATGAGCTAGATGACAAGTCACCACTATAGAACAATGTCCAACTCTGTCATGTAATCACATACACTGTGCATCTCCAAAGGGTGAGCAAACACATACACAGGAATTACACTTCACAATGTCCATACATAAAAGGATCTAGCATATATATAGGGCATGAGTGGTGTGTGCATTGGGAAAGACAGAGGAGCCCCTAGGGCAGTGATGGAGAACCTTTTTGAGCCCGAGTGCCCAAACCGCAATACATGTCAACATTTTTTTCCTCAAAGTGCCAACACAGTAATTAAACCTGAATACTGAGTTTTAAGTTCAGAAAAACAACTCATACAGTTGTCCGAACTAGTTAACATCTTTTGTTTTAAAAGACACAGAGAGTTCAGTTATACAAATTTTAAATAATGATATTAATAGATAAAATTAAGCATATATTTATTAGTATCTCCAACAAATGCAATGCATACACACAGCTGAACACATTCACACACCGACTGCTTAATACATACACACAGACACACAGACTGCGAAATACACACACAGTCCGTTAAATACAAACACACACACATACACACAGTCCGTTAAATACAAACACACACACATACACACAGTCCACTGAATACACATACACTGCTGAATACATACACACAGTCAGATGAATACACACGCAGTCAGATGAAAACACACGCACACACACACACACACTGCTGAATACACACACATATACTGCATTGAGGGGTGCAGTGTATATGTTTGTGTGTGAGGGGTGCTGTGTGTGAGAGGGGGTAGCGGTGCTGTGTGGGGTTGGAGGGTAGGGGTGCTGTGTGTGTGGGGGGTAGGGGTGTGGGGGTAGGGGTGCTGTGTGGGGGTAGGTGTGTTCTGTTGGGGGGATAGGGGTGTTCTGTTGGGGGTAGGGGTGCTTTGTTGGGGGTAGGGGTGCTCTGTTGGGGGCAGGGGTGCTCTGTTGGGGTAGGGGTGTTCTGTTGGGGGTAGGGGTGCTCTGCTGGGGTACTCTGTTGGGGTAGCTCTGTTGGGGGTAGGGGTGCTCTGTTGGGGTGCTGCTGTTGGGGTAGGGGTGTTCTGTTGGGGGTAGGGGTGTTCTGTTGGGGGGGTAGGGGTGCTCTGTTGGGGGGGTAAAGGTGCTCTGTTGGGGGGGTTTAAGATACATTAAAAACGTTTAAAAAAAAAAAAAGCATACTGAATCAGTATTTCCTCCCCCTTCATCTTACCTTTGGTGAAGGGGTGGGGGGGGGGAACACAGCCATTCCTGATGGTCCGGTGGTGGTAAGTATGTAGGACAGGAGCCTGCAGCTCTCCTGTCCTCCCGCGTGATGCTGTGTGGAGCGTTGCCATGAGAACGCGCAGCAACGCTCCACACAGCTGGCGGAAGGACAGGAGAGCTGTTTCCTAGATGCCTTCCCCCTGCTTCCGGTCCTGCCGACAAGGAAGCAGAGTAGGCGCCTGCCATAGGTTCGCCATCACTGCCCTAGGGTATTATATTGGATAATCTGTGACAGAAAGTAAGTTCAACAGTACCAAAGTGTGATTTTATTCCGAGGTATAAGCACGTGATGATTAAATCACTCATTCTTTTTGTATAATTTTTCCTATCCCCCCCAAATTAAAGTTGCATAGATAATGTAGTGATTTCTCTATCATAATGTATAAATAGCATTTTAATATTTATGAACCAGCCATAGCTGTTGGATGACAAGTTCAAGTTAACATTAATTTTCACTCTCTATTTACTGGGAATTTTCCTGCAAAAGTTTCCTGTATATTTATGTAAATCGTTTCAGCATAGCTGTCTGCAAAGTATTTTTTTTTATTTCAGTGCAATTTTTTTGGCATGATTATTTTAAAAGTAATTACTTGACCTTAGTAGATGTTTTACTGGCTTTCACTGAGTTCTACATTTTCAGTATGTTAAACCTTTGTAATGTTTAAATATAAAATGATATATTAACCGTACCTTAAGAACACTAAATATTCACTACTAGTTACATGGTAATCAATTAACACAGAATTGCATGTATTTAATTATTTATTATTTATTTTTTCCTTGGAACACGTATCATTTACAATAAAAAAAAAGATATTTTTTGATTTCTTAAATGGTTACAATAACCTTTATGCAACCTAAAAAATTTTTACATTTATAATAGGGCATTACTCGTAGGTCCGCCTCCCTAATAAAAATATTTTTTTTCTTACCCGGAATCCAGCGTCGGGCAAAGCGCCTCATTCTGACATCATAGGGGGCCTCATATGAGCCAATCACAGACTTCTCAAAAAAATTCCTGTGATTGGACAGTTTCACCAGTTCAGATCACATGCACACAACACAGTAAATGTATTATCCATTTGGAAAAATCCCTCAAATAGATTAATATATGGAGACGCACTCTGCACTTTTAATTTATACTGC